GCCTCAGCGAGAGCAGCATTTTGAAAAAAATGCAAGCGAAAACCCAACTCCCGGGAATCCTGTATAAAAAACAATACGCGGGGGGGGGGGGTCGAACACTCCCAGCACGTCATCAGGGGAAGAGGGAGAGTAGTATTCATATTGGGTAATTGTGGATGGGAAGAGAAGAAGGGAGGGGAGGAGGAGGAGGAGGAGGTGGAGGAGGAGGAGGAGGAGGAGGAGGCGGAGGAGGAGGAGGAGGGGGGGGAGGGGAGGGGGGGAGGGAGGAGGAGGAGGAGGAGGAGGAGAGGAGGAGGAGGGAGGAGGAGGAGGGGCTACGATAGGGGGGTCTGGCAAATGGGGGGAGGGAACACATCGACGACCTGGAATCGGCGATACATCGCCGATAGATCGGCGATAGGCCACAGGGCCCCACAGCAGGAGGACGTTCTTCGACTCTGCCATGGCGAGGGGCAACGATAGGGGCGTTATGCAGATGTTCCCCAATCAGAGCTTGCCTCTGTAGGGGTCCTAGCAGATTCATATGGTTAGGTTAGGTTTGTCGCCGATTATCGCTGCACGCCCGGGTGCCTGGGTGCCCAGGGGTGCCCGGGGCCCGGTTGCCCGGGGGGTGCCCGGGTGCCCGGGTGCCCGGGTGCCCGGGCGTGCCCGGGGGTGCTCGGGGGTGCCCGGGGCCTGGGTGCCCGGGGGGGTGCCCCGGGGGGGGGCCCGGGGGCCCGGGCGTGCCCGGGGGTGCCCGGTTGGTGGACATGTATATTATTTTTTATTATATATATATATATATATAGCCCAATGCCCTATAGCTCTATAGCCCTATAGCCCAATAGCCCTACAACTCGAATAGCCCCATAGCTCTATAGCCCTATAGCTCGATAGCCCTATAGCCCTACAGCCCTGATTGGGTTTTCCTCCTGTATCATGCTGTTGCGTATGCATATGAATGCACACATACGTATGGACATGTGTACTCTCGCTTATATTTAGTATATTATATATATATATAGATTTTATTTTTATTATATTATTAGATATTAATTTAGATCGCCGGCCCCCTTGTGGGGCCACCAGGCTGCGAAGGCACGTGCGTTAGCTGTTTCATGTACCAGTTGTGCTGTAGTTTTCCAGCTGTAACTAGTTGACTCTTTGCTGGTTACTGTAACTAGTTGACTTCTTGCTGGTTACTGTAACTAGTTGATTGACCGCGCGAGGGGGGGGAGGCCCAAACAAGACTTTTTAGCGTCCCCTGGGCGCGTTGTCTGAATTGCTGGGGGGGCTCGAAATCCACACCCCTCACGCAGATCCGCGGGGTCAGGGTCCAAAAACACAAGGGATTTGCCACATTTCTGAAATTCGGTGCCACCCCTCACGCAGATCCGCGGGGTCAGGGTCCAAAAACACACGGGATTTGCAACATTTCTGAAATTCGGTGCCTCCCCTCACGCAGATCCGCGGGGTCAGGGTCCAAAAACACAAGGGATTTGCCACATTTCTGAAATTCGGTGCCACCCCTCACGCAGATCCGCGGGGTCAGGGTCCAAAAACACTGGGGATTTGCCACATTTCTGAAATTCGGTGCCACCCCTCACGCAGATCCGCGGGGTCAGGGTCCAAAAACACAAGGGATTTGCCACATTTCTGAAATTCGGTGCCACCCTTCACGCTCATCCATCGCAAGGCGTGGTAACCCAAACTGCGAGAACTCCCTCGGCCCTTTAATCGCAAGGTGTGGTAACCAAACCCGTACACCATACACGTCTTACCAGTCGAAAACAAGCTGGTAAGCTTAGGTATGTGTTACGCTTTAAGCGTTGCCATATCCCAGGCTTTGGCTCATATCGCATGAGCAAGAGAGCAAGACGAAGCATGGGATCTGGAGTAAAGGATAGGATGGGCATCGTCAATGGAAAAGGTATTTTCCGATCTCTGATGCAAGTCGTGCGCCTCGGTGAGGCACAATCACATATTTTAGGCCGGGCCCGGCTTGAGCCAGGCACGGCAGCGGTACATGCTCGATTTATACCTCGCCTTTAACCTTCCCCGTTTAAAGTCGGAGGGGGAGGAGACGAGCAGGCACCGCACTTCTACATTATGCGGAAAAAACAGTGCTAAGCAGCAGCGGCTGCCTACAAGGAAAGGGCGCGCGAGTAGCCTCGCTACCGGCGAGTTTCCTCGCTATTAAAGCGCACCTGCCCGCGGGTTTCCCCGCTAGCTCGGGAGGCAGGGCCGTCCTGATACGACCTGCCCGCCCTATACGGTGTATGTTTCTTCAGCTCGTGCTTGAAGGATTGCTGGCCGGCCATTACTTGTAGGAGCAACGCGCGGTCAATACTAACTTTGGTATGACCATCGGCAGTCATATCCCGCGTGTCACACCATTGAACGCTTTCAACGATTCCGCGCTCCATCATCTGGCGGATCCAGCTAATGTGCCCAAGCAGAGTACATTCTGTGGGCTTCTTCAGATCTTTGCTAGACAAAGACTTGAAGACAGACTCGGCATCAATCGTCAGAGTGACTTTGATACATAGACCACCCATTTCCAATATGTTCTTTAACTGTGTGGGGGTCAATGGTCCCGAGTGTAGCTCGTGGAGCGTTACAATGGTCGGTTAGCAGTCTTCCAAGTTGTGGGCTGCTGCCAGTGTTTCCGCAGAGTAGCTCGAACGCACCTGCAGTCGATGAGACTTGCAGTATGCGTCCACCAGGTGCACGACGGGTTTCCCCGCTTGAGTGTGGCCACGCCTCAGCAGGTTAGCCCCGCGGATACCATAGCCTTTGACTTCGTCGTCTTCATCTCCGTTGAGACGACGATAGCCAGAATCGCTATGCAGGTCGACTTCTCCTGTTGGGGTCATTGCTTGATACGCGATCTTCTTCGGACCTGCCTGTAGTTTTCTGGTAACCGCGTTTAGTCGTCGTACCTGGATGTTTGTCGGTTCCTGGATACGTTGTAGTGAGACAACATAGACCATCAGCCATACCTGCGCGATCAACGCATAGGCTAAAGCGCCACGAAGACTGACGAACATATCAGAAATCGTCTTTGTCGCTTTGCTCTCAGGATCAGCTCCTGTGAGTTCTGGATGTGTGATAGGACGAAGCTGTTTGATGTATTCGTCCTGATCAAGAGTGACGCTCCCATCATCGGTCTTGTTATACCGAACGGCACAGTTTGTGTATGTGTGCTTTTTCAGTTTGCACTTCCCAAACGTATCTTCAACACACTTGACATACTTGTCAATAGCATCTTCCTTCCCAGTCATATTGATGTCATCAGCGTGCTTGGCTGTCAAGAGGTTTGAGCTCATCTCGAACTCTTCGTCGTATGAAGTAGGCTGTAGCCCAAAGCTCCTAGTGATGGACCTGAGCTTCAGCGAGAATGCCCTGGGAGCATCCTTCGTGCCCGTCCCCGGCTTCAGACACCGAAGACAATGCTTTGATTCGTCATATGACTCAAAGCCTGGCAGCGTGCGAAGGACAGCTGCTGACCCAGGTGGTTGTGTGAAGCACACCACGCGCTCTTTCTCGCCCGTTGCCGCGGCGAGCTCGCCATAGGTCAGTCCCTTCAAGAAA